TCATTAAATATATTTCTCTAATTTATCTTTGAGACTGGCAGCTCGGTAAAAGCATTCGAGTTAAGAAACGCCCCGCAAACTGTATATACTTGATAATCGTTATACTTTTCAGCTCCTGCTGTAGTTGTTGTTGTTGCTTTGTTACTTTTGCTGTTTGCAACAACCCTTTCGTCCAGGCTAATTAAATCTAATCCAGGCTGAAAGGCTTGGCCAGCAGGAAGCGCTGCACACTTTTCGCATGAATGTCAATCAAGCCCACAATTAAATGATTGAAGACATTCATCTGGGCCCGAGCTTGGCCTTTGTCTCCGCCTGCCAGGCCAGGCAGCTAGGCAGCTAATCAGCAGCCACTCCAGAGTCGAGCACCCCGTAGTGAGCCACTCAACCACTCATTCAACTGAGGATTGGGCAGCAACAAGCTTCAAGCCACGTTGGACTTGAATGGCCAATAAAATAGATAAGCGCTACTGTGGCTCCAGTTTAAAATGCCACGTAGATTCTTCTTCTTCTTTTTTCTTGTTTTTTTTTTTTGTAGTTTTGCAGACGCATAGCAAATAGATACAGATACAAAATATTTTCATGAGAAATTGACTTTTTCTACTGCCATCGTCGTCGTCGTCGCCGTCTTCGTCGTCATCGCCTTCTTTTCCGTCTCGTCTCTGTCGTTGTCTTCCTTGGCTGGAAATGATTAATGATGCAGCTCTGCGCATTCGTACGTTTGTCGTCCCACACCAGACCTCCAATTCCAGCTCCAGCTCCAGCTCTGCTTTTCTGTAAGTGTATCTGTATCTGTATCTCTCTCTCTCTTTGTCTATGTAGCTGTATGTCTTTTGTTGTCAGCCTGAGCATTTTTACTGCATTGCATTGCAGCATTTGGCATTCGAGGTAGCTGAAGCTGAAACTCAAGCCAAGAAGCCGTCCATATAAGCTGCACATCCGTACGCCCTCTCCGTCGCGTCATCAGTTGCTCTTTTGATTGAATTTGTCATGGCCCCGGCCTTACCCACACATTCTCTCATAAGTACTTTCAGCCTGGCCCTTTAAAGTTTTGCAACCACAAACTTGAACATAACTCAAGCCACAGAATGTTGCTTCGCCTGCGTCTATGCTATGCTCCCCTTGCCCCGTGTAGCTAGCCAGAATATTTTACAAGATAAATTGAGGTCATTTTTTTGGTGTCCACCTTTGGTCGTCTTGTTTGTTCTTTGCTGGCGACTCGCAAAGGTCCTGCCACAAATTGTGTCCACCTTGTTGACCGCTGTCCCATTCATGTGTCCACAAATGTTCCTAATGTGCATCCTTATGGACTAACACGTGTAAAGTGGTCAAAAGCCCTAAGCCCAGAGGCCAAGCCCCAGCGTACTTGGCCACAAGTTGCCAAACGCAAAGGCAAAGGCTGTGGAGGCTTGCCTCGTAAAAAAGGCACATTCTTTGCCATGCCAGGGGCGTGGAACATGATTTAAATGAGATAAATACACTGGGCATAAGATAGAGGTCAATTTTCTTCTTTTCTTATTTTATTTTTTATTATTAATCATATTTAATTGTGTTTATACGCGTCTCCAGACCAATATATAAACCTATATAACTGTCAATATCTGTGTAATATAAATTATTTATTCTCAACTCGACAGATTATAATTAAATAAATAAACGCAAGCAAAAGAAATAAAAATTGTTTTGCTTTTTAATAACAACAGAAAATAATATAATAAAATAAAATATAAATATATATCTAATAAATTTCTCAAGTTCAAAAGTTACAGTTTTTTGCTTTTATTTACATTTTGCTTATTTCTAATTAATTTTTATATTTGTATCATTTTTTTTTATGTATATTTTAATATTTTTCTTTTAATAATATTAGTTTAATTTTATATTTTTTATTTTGTTTATGTTTCATTTTATTTTCTATTATTTTTTTTTTATATTTTATTTCATTTACACTTTATTTTATTTATATTCGTCTTAGCTCTCATTTTCTCAACATTTCAAGGCTTAGAGAACGGCAAGGTCTAACATATTTTCTAAATTATTTAAATGTACATACAATATTTTTTAAATACTTTATTTTTTATACATATTTTTAATTACTTTATACATATATAAAAAAGTGCTCCTCATCTTTACTATAATTGTTAAAATCCTGTGCAGAGCTGTCAAATTCTTACCTAACTTTTGTGAGCTGTTCAGCCTCATTACAATCAGCCACAATGTTGAATTTCTCACAGTGTATAAATTTTAATAAGCAATGAACAAGTTGCAAGTTCCGTGAGCTACCTTTCGCTTCGGTTGCAAACATTTTGCAATTGTTGGCGAAATTTACGCTCATTTTAATTTCGGGCTGCACTTGGGGCAGCAGATGCGTGGAGTGTGGCCATTTCTATTTTTTTTCCTTTTTTTTTTGCTGTTTGCCTAACCAAAATGCAGACATAAATTTTCACATAGCAGGCGGGTGCGAGAAAAGAAAAAAAGAGAAAAGGTCAAACCAGTGAGTGCGAGAGAGAGAGAGAGAGGGAGAGCGAGTGCGTTTAAGTGTTAACATGTAAATTATGCTCGGGGCGATGTTAATAAGTGTATTTCAAGTGCTGTAAATCACGAGTAGCACTTCCGAATTGCAAATTAATATTTCGCAGCCATATATACGCATGCATATACATATGCACATAGGTTAGTGCTTTACAACAGAAATCTTTTTGGCTAGGCCCAGCTGGGCCAAGTGCGGCCAAGTGCTGCCGCTGCTGCTGCTGCTGCACAAAGTATCCGACGTAGTTGCTGATAAGTTTCGTTACGTTTTGACTTTTCCGGCATTTCATCCATGCTGATGACATTTCCAATGCAACGATCCCCAATTCCCACCCACCTCGCCCTCGCCCTCGTCCACGCCCACGCCAAAAATTCATTTTGTAATTTTCAGATACCTTGAATGCCCTAGCCAGCTGTCGTCGAGCTGGTTCGCCTGCTGGGTTTTCATTTTGACCAGGCTGCAGAAATTGCAACCAACTTGCTTTCCATTTGCTACCAACTCCTTCTCCTCCTGGCTGTGCGTGTGTATGTGTGCCGTATTCTCTCTCTGTGTATGTGTGTGCACGGTTCGGTTTAGAAAATTATCTTTCTGCTCGTCGTCGCCAAAAAGGAAATCATATTTTCTGCTTTTGTGCACTTTACTTTTCAGTTTCGTCGGTCGCCCGCCTCCCCGCCTGCCAGTCGCCCCATCTCTATCACACCCTCTCGCTTGGCCTCTCGTTCTCGCCGCCTGTTTGCCTTTGACTCGTAAACAGTTTGGTTGCAACTTTTGTGCGAAATTTATGCTTCTCGCACCGAATACCCTCTCATTTCTGGGCACTTTTCGCAAGTACTCGTAGCATGCGACTTGCTGCCACACCCACACCCACAGCCACAGGCCTGCCCTTCTATGCGAGGAAATGGGTTGTGTGTGTGTGGGTGTGTGTGTGCGGCATCCAGGTGGTGTTTATGGCATCCGCTTTCGGCAGTATTGATGAAGGAACTCGCATCTGTAATTCAATCAGTGTCTATGTCTGGCTGCTGCTGCCATTTGGCTGGCTATGGAGACCGAGCTTCGTTCGACTGGAAATTCACGTGCAAACATTTTCCATTTTCCATTTACATCGCATCAATGCAAATAAGGCGTACAAATATCAAAATGCTCATTTTACCCATCATATCATATGCGAATATTTTATTTTTCTTACACCTTTTTAACGTAGCTATACGAAATAGAAGAATTCGCTACGACTTTTGACTTTTGTTTTTATAACTTTTGGCATTTGCACTATCGTTAGATGGAACTTTTTTCAAGTGATGTGATATAAGATAGTAAATATATTCAAATTGACGCAGCTTTTCTCTATCAAGTGACCATGGACTAATACAATTTAAAAGAAAATCAGATTTGAAAAGTTTATTTTAATATTCTAGCAAAACTCGGCCTCTTCCGTTTGTCATTTATTTTAAACATAATTCATTTATTTTATTACTTGTATAACTTTATTCGAAGAGATGAGCTTAAATATGAAAATAATACCCACACATATTTGATTGATCCAGTCATTCTTGTAGTTAGATAATATATAAATATAAATAATATTAAATTTCTTTAGTTATACTTTCTTTCTTATGATCAATTTTTTTATTATTTAACTCACAGTTTGTATAAGAATAAGAAATACTTAAATTAAAGGCAAGAAAAGCTTTATCTAAATACGAAACTAGGCAGATATTGAGAAGAGTAAACATCTTACAATATCCATTGCTCTTCACATGCATATAACACCTAGCCAGATATTTAAATGAATCTAACGAAGAGATGAGCAGGCTGGGTGAGCTGCAAGAAGATGCTGTAGAGACAGTAGCCAAACTACTTGAAGTGTCGCTACGTGCCGCCTTGTGGCAATGCTTCACGCGCCTTACGGATTGATTGATTAGATTTTTGTTAATTACTTAACGCTTGAGACCGAGCCAGAGAGATGCGCATTGTGAGAGTGTGGAAGGTGCTCGCGAGGCGCGACGACAAAACTTTGCTGCCGCGCTGCGTTACCCGCATTTCGTGGCAGCCACATTAACATCAGCTGCAGCCGCACCGAGGGCGAGGCGACAGACAGGAAGCGCTTGCCGCATAGTTGCCACAGCTTCGAATTAGTTATGGCCGGTGACGAGCTGATGGATTGATCACATAGAATCACAATTGCAATCGCAGTCACAGTCAGTCCAGGAGCAGGAGCAGGAGCAGCAGCAGCAGGAGCAGGAGCAGTTGCAGCAAATCCTCAATACTTCAAGTTGTCGCACACGATTCCTGTCAGTCCTTGTTGTTGTTGTTGTTGTCGTTGTTGCTTCCGTAGTTGGTTACGCCCCGAACTTGTACGCAAAGTCGAAGCGTTTGCAATTTGCTAGTAGAAGGCGCTCCGCTATCCACGTAGAGCCACGTTCAAATTCACATTTACCCACGGACTCAAACCAGAATATGCAATTTTCAATTGCAGCTGAATTCGTTCCAGAAAACGGCCTGCCCCGACGTCTGCGCACCGCGTACACAAACACGCAGCTGCTGGAGCTGGAGAAGGAATTCCATTTCAATAAATATTTATGCCGCCCAAGAAGAATTGAAATAGCTGCCAGCCTGGATCTGACCGAGCGACAGGTGAGTGCCAACTCTTTGCCTTGCAACCCCCCGCTCTCCTGTCCCAAATGCAACGCGATTGCTCTGCCCGCTTCCGTCTGCCATTTCTTACTCAATTTATTTCAATGCTCAGCTTGAAGGTCTGGCACTCAGTCCGTCTGTCAGCCCTCCACCTGCTCTCTTAAAGGTGCAAAAATTCCATTATTTGTGATGAATTACACTACGCCAAGGTTGACAGTGGCTGAGTTCCGCACACGTTCGTCGCGGCTGAAGTCTTTTCTTCGTTTTAATTGCCCTCTTTCACACCTCGCTTCAACTGACATTATGTAATGCAATGCATTTCGTATGGCTGGCCATTTGTCTATTCCAGGTCAAAGTTTGGTTTCAAAATCGTCGCATGAAGCACAAGAGGCAAACGCTGTCGAAGACCGACGACGAGGACAACAAGGACAGCCTCAAAGGTGACGATGATCAGTCCGATAGCAGTGAGTGCAAAGTTCATTTCAAATTTGTATTTAAAAATATCTGCTTTAATTAACTAAAACAGAGTCGATAGAGACTGAATAAACTTTAGTTTTACTAAATACAAAAATATTCATTTCTTATCGAATCGAATCAAATTTCAATATGAAAAGAGGCTAAAGTGAAGGAAATATTAGTTGAGACTAGGAAATTAACTAATGTGAATAGGAAATAATCACACTTATTAATGTATGTAAAATTATTGTAGATCTATAAATTAAAATACAGATTCTGAGATCTGAGATCTTAAAGCTTAAAAAAGTCTGCTGAAAAAGTTCTCAGAGTTTTAGTCTAAATACTCAATACATACATATATGGTAGCTCAGAGCAAATCCCAAAACTGGAGAAAAAACGGAGAATTGTTTATTGAAATATGTAGTTACGTTGTCCCAGTGCAAATTTTTGATAGAGCTCCCTAAATAGTTTATAATTTTTATCAATAATAGTTTTCACTAAAGTTTGCTTAAGATATTGTAATTCCATATGAATTTCTATAATAGTATTATTTCAAATTTCGATATATATATATTTGCATGCCAAATCATGATAATCTTCTGAAGATATGGAAATTTGTTTTATATTTGGGGCATCTTAAAGACCTGATCAAATGACATAGAATTCTTATTGTATTCCCAACTTAAACGAATCACTCACTAACCACTCTGCCGTGAAGCACTCGGCTGGGTTTAGCGGGTCACTTTTACTTTTTGAGACTGATTACGCAAAGAAGAAGAGTAGAATATGCTGTAGCTTATCAATCACTGTCAGCTGGAGGAGGGCTCAACTTTAGCGAGAGCTGCGAGCTGAGAGAGTTTCCCCGTCGCCTCACGCGACTTTGAGCTAACCCTTTTGCGGATATCGCTTTAGTGGTTCGAGCTGGCTCTTTCTTTTGATTCTTATTCTTATTCTTATTTTTAGTTTTGTTTTATTTTTATTTATTTTTTTTTTCTTTGTATTTTTTGTATTTTGGTTTGGTTTTCTTTATAAAAACATATCATCAATTTGCGCACTTCAAACCAAACTTATTTACTTATTGGTTCACACGAAACGCAGATTCCAATTCGAAGAAGTCGTGTCAAGGCTGCGAGCTGCCCTCCGACGATATACCCGACTCCACGTCCAATTCCCGAGGACACAACAACAATACGCCCAGCGCCACGAACAATAATCCGAGCGCCGGCAGTCGTAAGTAGTTTGCAGAGCAGCAGCTCTCCTTCAGCAAAGGGATCCTAGACTAAACTTAATTGATGCTTAAATACAGTTACTCCCAATTCATCGCTGGAAACAGGAATCTCGTCCAATCTGCTGGGCAGCAGCACCGTCTCCGCTTCGAACGTCATCAGCGCCGACTCCAGCGTTGCGTCCAGCGTTAGCCTGGACGAGGACATCGATGAAAGTCCCATTAAGGTTAAGAAAAAAGACGACGGTCACAGCCAGGTGAGTGTTTAACTCGATCCGCATCTTAAGTTTATCCATGTGTATGTATGTATATTCTACGTATTAGGTTATCAAAAAGGAGGCCGTTTCCACCTCATCGAAGGCCTCGCCATTTGGCTATGATGCGGGCCCTAGTTTGGCCAGTTTTCGCCGTGATCCAGACGCCGCCGCCGCCGCCGCCGCCTCCAACACGCCGGCAATCAAGGCTGGCGGCAAGAAACGATATCAGAGCTCCAATGCGAATGCCATTTCAATTGCCGTTGCCTCTCCGCTGGGCGAGAACAACGGCGCATCTGTGCCGGCGGCTTATTTCCCAAACGCTGGATACTATTCCAGCCCTAATCCAAATCCAAATACGAAAAATTTGCAGGCGCCGCAGCAGATGCCGCAGGACTATTACGGGAAATACGATATTGAATTCGCCGCCTCGCCGCACCACAACCCGCACAAGCAGCCACAGCAACAGCAGCAGCAGCAACCGCTGCACGGCGAATATCTAAGTCCAAAGCCAAACAGCAATGCGGCCAATGTCAATTTCCATCAGAATAATCAACAACAACACCAGCACGAACAGTTCTACTACAACTATAACGACACCAATGGCGGCAGCGCGTACATGAACCACCAACAACACCAACAGCAGCATCATCCAATTGGTGACTTTGAGGCGCCACCTATTAACGGACCGAGCAACTTTTATGATCCTAAGTCACAGACGGGTGGCGCTTACTACGACAACATGAATTTTCAACACCAACATCAGTCGGTGGTCTTTCAACAACAGCCGCAGCAGCCGCAGCAACACCCGCAGCAAGGCCCTCTCAATCAACAGCAGTAAGTCGCCATTCAACGTTACAGCTAAATTATTCTCTAGGTGACAGACTATCAACTTTAGAGATACACAATCACTTACAATTCGTTTATAAGTTATCTTGTTTCTTAAACGCCCTTTTGTGACATGCGACCATTTAGTGGTGTACAGAACCACTTTACGAAATTCGTCTAGCATTTCATATATTGCCCAACTCTTATCGACTGCATTTCGATAGTACCAGTTAGTGACGTTGAGAGCCAACCAGACAAATTCGTTCAAGCGGCGTGTTAGTGAAGTATTAAACCGCTGAGCAATGCTCAACGTGTAAAGACCTGACGCCATCTAGTGTTCAATAAATTTCCATAGCTATCGCTTGCCACCACAAATATCGCCATGAAATGGCATCGTTAGTGCAGTCACTAATGTTACGATCAATTTGGTCGAGCGGCCCAGCTCAAAATAAATAAGCAATATTTAACAATAGATAAGGAATATGGCTGCCTGTAAATTACAGAGCCATTTAAAGTAGCTCCACACATGACGAAATTCAAGAGGAATATTTTCAAAGCCCCAAATTGAACGATACCGCCAATTAAATAACGAATTTGAATTACACTATGGTTGATAAGCAAACTAACAAATTGTAGCCTTTTGCTGCACATTGGACGTAGCCTTGCTTCGTAATTCGTTTCGCATTTAGCGAAAGATGTCTGCAATATTGTTGAAATGTACAAATTAATACTTTCAGGCACATGCACCACATTGGAGCTGGGGAAACGTATAGCGCGCTTGGCCTGCAAATGGAGAACTGCGACGGATACAACAACTTTGCCGGTGGCTACTATGACCCAGCTGCGGGTCAGCAACAACCACCAGCTCCGCCCACACACAGCCACCCAGTGCCGCATCCACACGCCAATCCCCACCACCCGCATCACCAGATGCAGGCACAGGCTCATCCACATATACATACACACCACAATCCAGCCACTGCAGCTGCTGCTGTTCACGTAGTCGGTGCTCCGCCTCTGCCCGCCAATCATCTCCACAATTCAAACACAAATTTTGGCGGACAACTGCAGGCGTTTGCCAACACTGGCGGCAACTCAGGTGTTGGCGGTGCAGCCGTCATCAGCGGGCTGGAGAACTCGAACAGCTCGTCGGACTTCAATTTTCTGAGCAATTTGGCCAATGATTTTGCTCCAGAGTACTATCAGTTAAGTTAGTTCTGATAATCCAGATTGTAAATACTAAACTGCAATCGATGTAGTCGAATTTTTACTTTGTAATCTCCAAGCTCTCAGCTCTCACTTTGTCGTAGCTCACATACATATCTGTAAATATGTTCGTATGTCTGTCCCAATGCTAGATCTATATATGTATATGTGTATGTAAGTAGCTAGAGTGATATATATATGGATATGCCTATGTGTACACATATATATATATATATTCTAGGCTCGGTAATCTAGTTCACTGCAGCTCTCAAAAATAAAAGTGTGGCTTAAAGCCCGCGTTAAAGGAAAATTCTCTCCGTTCAACAAGAAATTTAAAAAATTAAGAAAACTAAAAACAAAATTGTAAATAGCTAGTAAAAATTAAATGTAACTTTCCACCAGCCCTAATCAAAAATAATTCAGATATACTATATAAGCATATACACCATATAAACCTATCTACAAAATCTTTCACAAATTGTGTTTTGTAAATAGATATTGGAGTGTAGATCAAATCGAATATTGTGAAATTTTTCAATTGAATTTCAATCTGAATTTGTGATTCAAATACAAATTTCCAATTGTATTCGAATGAATATTAATTTTAATTAAATGTGAGTAATGTTTGTATGTTGTTCCCCGATTCCCAAATACAATTTAACTTGAAAGACATTTTAGACACTAAATGAATGAATGAATGAAATAAATAAATAAATATTATCAAATAAATCGTATTTTCTTTGCTAAAAATATTTCAGAAAAAGGTAAGACAAACGCTGCACCAATTAAAATTGTGCATATATGTTTTTAAATTGGTTTTCCTACGCTTAAGATATTGAAAATAAAAATACAAATGTGCATTCTTTGAATTAGACTCGTGATTTTTATATGATGTACGATTCAGAGTCACATGAGGTTATTTGTATATATGCATGTATGTAAGATGACAATGTTTCTCTATTTCAATTTGAGATCTTTGTAAACATTTCACTTGAATCTAAGCAAAAGTTCACAATGCCCGTAGCAACATGTTGCACCAGCTTGGCAACTAACTATTCATCAGCTGTTAAACGCGAGTCGCGACGAACAGCTGCTGTTGTAATGCGTAGCAATTGTTGCATCAGCCAAACCGGTAAAGCGAACTTACTCTCTTGCCACAGCTCTCTCTCTCTCTCTCTGCTCTCACGCGACCCAGCATCTGACGACTGTGCACTCTACAAACATTTTACGCATCATAGATGAATGAACAGAACAATTTTAAAATTAAATTCACTCATTTATCAAATGAGTATTGTGCCTTAAATGCCCGCTGATAAGCTCTCACATATGTATGTATGTATGTACGTTTGCGAATTCAGTAAGCTTTTATGAGTGCGTGTATGTACTTTCATATATGTACATATGTTTTCTATACATACATACATACTTGTATTCTTGTGTATGTACAATGTACATACACATATGTATGTGTGTGAATGTGTATACAGACTTATGCAAATACGTATATTCAGACAACAAGATTACGCCGAAATTTACTACACTTACACACATTCGGTAGGCAGTAACCGCTGTAGCTATTAATTTAGTTGTTATTTCTTAAAAATTTTGAACTACTATAAGTAAATATATAATACATATACATGTACATGTTTATACTATATAATATAAATGGTGATTCATACATATTTAACTGACTGTGGAAAATTAATAATAGATTTAATGAAAGAAGTTTGTATATATTTCTGTACAATTCAACGGCAATTTAAAAGTCTAAAAGTTCCTCAAACATTTGCAAAACTATTGAAATTCAAACTGCTTCACATGTCGCTATTTAATGGAAAAGAGAATCCAATTAGTTAACAACCTCACTAAGTAGGAGCTGCAGTAGTTGCTAAGGCTAAAAATAAAAGTTATGTACGGAAGAATCTTAGCATAAATAAAATTGAGTTTTGGGGGCACGGCAATCGAACAGCCAGCTGAGAGTCAACACATAGAAGGCGGGATGGAGAAGGTGTATGGCATAGGATAGCATGGGATTCGACGACTGATGGCAGCGAACTTTTTATCAGCAGCAAAGTTGCTTACGTACATGCATACGTAGGTTGAATGAGTCCAGCGACTGGTTGACTCGATTGGCATCCGTTAGTAACAAAACTTTAGCCGTCGTGAACAGAGCAAATTTTATATCGTATCGCAAGTCGAGTCGTGAATTCAGTGAGCTTTTAGCAAAAACAACAGCGAACGTATTAAAAAGCTTTGCAAATCTGCGAAAATTCGTGAAATTGCTTAAAAAGTGTTTCAAACACGGATTTATGGAAAACTAGTTTCATTTCCATTGATACTTCGGTTACGGTCTTAATGGCATCTGCAAGTGAACTTTCATATAAAGATATTTTATTCATAGAATAATAATTTATTTCCAATTTGTTAATAAAAGTGAGCCAAGAGCGAAAAGTGCTGAAAAACAAAGAATACGCAAATTAAAAACTACTTTAAATATTATTTGATATTCATAGTTGTACACGAGTGTTGTATACATACATACATACATATATAGATAAGAGAATATCTCTTTGATAAGTTTTACGTGCGATTCAATTAACTGATTTCAATTTATCGGCGGATCGCCCAAGTATTATGTTTGTCGTTCCTACTATTGCTAACACAAAAACAACGACAAGAACCACAACAACAAGAGGCGTCAACGCGATAATCAACCATAACAAGGGACGCTACAACGTCATGCAACATTCGCCTGTCGTTGTCTTTATGTCTATGCAACATTTGGGGCAGCAAGTTCCCATGCTCAACAATTTGATGTGTATGCGTATGCGTATGCGTGGATGGCATCATAACATTAACTACAATAAGTATCTATTGGCTAAGACCATCACGGGCAATCCCACGCCTAATAAGACTCTACTAAAGCGTTCCAAGAATTTGCGAAAGAAGCGTGACATTAATATTCGTCGCAGAATTTGTTGCCGAGGTTTTCGGTTTTGAGCCACACTTAGAGAAATTAATTCAACACAAAAGTAAAGGAAAATTGTTGCATCGGAACTTGCTTGCCACACGCGGCGGCATCGAAATGAGCGGTAAGTAGATTGACGATCCTCCGTCCTAGAGACGAGCCCACTTATGATAATGTCGCTGACATTCGATGACCTTAAACATAGTTTATTTTATATACCATGTTTACTCAATGCTATGAAGGCACCCACAGTATCACACAATCAGTCATTAATGCTCACACGCACATGTGCACACAGCACATATGTATGTACATGCTTACATACATACATATGTACATGTGCTACACGTGCCTTTATGTTGAATCTCTTCATACCCTACGCGCTTGCAGCATATATGAACTATCGCTCAGTTGAGCACCCTACATTTTAGTACTTGAATAGGCTTTGTGTAAGGATCCAAGTACATACATAGATATGTATGTATGTATGTAATACATGTAGACCATGTATTCATGTACGTAGTTATCAAAATAAACACATAATACTACAAAGATAAGTTCACACATTATAAAATGGCCCTATCTATGATATATTCCTTCACATGTACATACATACCTATGTGTGTATGCATGTGTGTATATACCGACAGACTAAGTGTTACGTGAAAGTTTTTTATTGACGTGGCCCTTGGCACAGAAATGTGTGCAATCATCGCGGCTAGCAAATTTTCAAAACTGATTTCAGCAACAAGTTTGGTCATTGTTAATTATTTGATTGCTTCTTCTTGACATGTACGTTTGTATTCCGATCTCGTGCCATTCAGTGCCACTCTGAGTTCAGTGCCTAATAGCGACGTCAGGTACACACATACATACATACATACATGCACAAGTATATCTGTTATGTATGTACATGCTTTATAAAATAATATAAGGTGTTTAACCATTTCCATTTCCACGAATTCTGCGCACTTTTTTGCCAAAGAGACCATACAAGTTGTTTTTGTTTTTCGAAGCTTTCAACATCAGTCCCCTCACTAACCTATCCCTCAAAGTCAATATTACCTACATCACATGCACCCAGGAGCTTTTCAGTTTCTGCGTCGGCAGCATGACTCATGTGTTTTTTAATTGTCGCCACAATTCAATACAATACATTCGCACTCGCACGCTTTCACATCTGTGAAGCATGTGTAGGTGTGTGAGTTATGAAAGCTCTGAAATTCTGAGAACTGGTGGACAAGCTTTTATCTTTACACCGACGTGTACACACATCGAAAGAGTTGTTCGCTAATGCCAGCTCACAAAAGCTTTGCTGCCATATGCAAGTGAGAGCAAAACACCAAAATTTAAAAATCCCAACGTATTTTTAAATGTAAACTCATAACTTAATTTGGCTTAAGACTTTTTTTATTGGTACATTGTATGCCATGAAGCCACTTTTAGTTAGCGGAATTCAATTTTGAATTGTCTCTTTGCATACAGTAAGAAATCTTTGTTTGAACCTTCATTTCTTATTGACAATTGTACATTTTATGAGTCTAAAACTCGCATCCATATTTATCAATTATTATATTGCTTACACATTTAAATAAAAATGTAAATTTTATGTATGCAATAATTTAACCTATTATATGTACATATAAATAAGTTCCTATGTGTAATAATAAAATGAATTGCTAGCCGGCCGGTGCACTTGTTTATTTTGCATACATAGGTATATATACATACATACATATCCATACATTAACCCACACATGTTGCGACACTGTTGAATAGTCAACAGGTTGGTGCTCGTAAGTGAGAGTCAAAGTAACGCTGTGACGTCACGTCAAGAGAAACACGTTTTCTCGATTTTTGTACTTATTTTTTATAGTATTAGGCCTGTAAAGTTAGTTAGTTATTCAATCTTACATTACAATATTTAGAATGTCTACAATTTGCTATTTAATTTCTGGAGTAAAATTTGCAATACTTAATTTAACCATTTGTAATGACGTAACATTTAATATGTTGCTCTCGAGGCAGAACCTTATGCGGGCTTTGAGAGAGAAAGAGAGCTGTGCATAACAAAGCTTTCGCTGAGCGCTCTCAAGAGTATCTGTGGAACAAGCTCTTTCGCATACACTCGCAGCCAGTTATCTGCCTATGGCAAACTGGTTTATTGCAGAGCTTTTTGAATTTCACAACGAAACTAAATTCGTCAGATTACACTTCGTGCATTTTGT